CAGCGATGGCGTCCTTGTTGTCGTTTCTTATCAGGTCAGAATGCTTGAATAGGTATGTATGCACACTTCGATTGTGTACTCTGTGTTGACCATAGAGGTTTTTTTTTCGCCTCCCTCCAATGAGGCCGAGTCCATTCTCCATCCTATGCTTGTGATTTGATTTGTGTTCGTTGTGAGCTTGGCAGCGATCAGGGGAGTTCGCTTCTCTGTTTCTCGCTGTACGGTGATGATAATGATGCTGATTTGAAATATCAGGCGACACTGTGATTTCTTTTGTGGTTATCGAGTCTAGTTGACGATGAATAATGGCATTTTTCCTTGGAGGAGGGAACGATGTAAGATCGAATGAAGAAAAGGTGGCGTAGCGCAGAGGCGAAGTCCGGGGCATACATTTTTAGGAAGGTAGGTTGAATTCACTCTTGCCGCGGTGATTTAAAAACATCCAAACCACAAAGAGTTTAGCGGACCTTTCTGGTTGTTATGGTAGTTAGAAAAGAATGGCTGAATGTATAGGAGGAGAGTTGAACGGTAGAGGAAGCGAGGACCTCTGCTTTTTTGTGCTGTCCACAAACAAGAGTACCAGAGGAATTGAAAATTGGAGGTATGTTGAATGGGCAGAACTTACGTGAAACCGCTTTTTCGAAGGACCAGAATGTTCGGTTACCGGTGGCGGAAGGAACCAGACGCGCAGCTTTGTGTTCAGTAAAGCGTTCTTTTCTGTATGATGAGCGAACATTTGTCTCTGGCTTGTACAAAGCGATTGCGGGTTGCTGGATTGAGTGAGTGGCGCCAACGACGGAATGCTAAGTTTTTGAAACGCACAGCACGGTTGCACGCGTAATTAAACCAATCAGGTGGTTAGTCCGGTTTGGAAAAGTGTGGAATATTTAGATACATAACTTAAAGAACAGTTTCTGTGAAGTTTGAAACAGAAGTAGAAACATCAGATTTGAAGCAACAATCCTTCCAGGAATAGCAAACCAGAAAGGCAGGAAAACCGTCCCAGTTGGCTGAGTCGTAACGTCTGGAGTTAGATGGTGAAATAGCGTGACAGAAATGAGTGAGAAAGGAAATGAGACAATGGTCCGATGAGCCTATTGGGGAAACGGAAGTGATGTTGGAGAAACAAGAGGGAATGGATGTGAGAGTGAAATCAAGGGTGTTGGCGCGGTCACCAATACGATCAAGGATGCGTGTCGGGAGATCAACTATTTGACTTATGTTGTTGACCACAGCAAAAGCCTCAGCTTCGCGTTCCGTGAACGAAGTGTCTGAGCAGTGCTTCAGCCATTCCTTTTTGTGGACACTGACATCTCCGGCAATGGTAATTTGGCTATTAGGATCTGCAACCAGTAGTGTCTCAATGTTGAAAGATAGAATATCAAAAATAGAAGAATCGCTACTGCTCGGGGAGCGGTAAACGATACAGAAATAGTGGTTGAAAGAACTAAATCGAAGTTTCATTCACAAGCTGAAATTCACGATTAGAGAAGTCTAAGTGCGACAGTTGGGAAGAAGCGACAGGATGATGGATATAGGCGCAGACACCAGCTTTAGAAAAGTACGAAGAATTGAGGAAGTTATTAGGGAACTGAAGACGAATAGTGTCTGACGAGGGAGTTTTGTATCAGTCAAAAATGAAGCCAAGGTTGAAGAAGATTGGAGAAAGTGGTGTGCAAAATTAACATTACGAATTAAACTATAAATGTTAGTGAAAACTATGGAGTGCTGTGAGTTCGTAGGTAGAATACGCATTCTGTGATTTCTGTGAGTTGTGTTGTTCATTTGTGGCGAGAGAAGACAGGCAACTAAACCCTAAGACTTGGAGTGGTAAACCACATAAAGCTTCAATAGGTTGAGCGTGGTTGTGAGCCGGGCGACTACTGGATAATAATACATAGAGCTCATCGGTTCAAATGCGTTGATGTGAGCTTCATATTAGAAACAATTTCATCCGCTAGTAGATGACGCAACTCAAACTGTTTATGTTTATATACCTGTTTAAACACAAAAATGACCTTTTGTCCTATGCAAGGTACTTCTCTATCCCAGCTGTTCGATTTATTATCCCTGGTTTACCCCACTCTTGCGTTCTATTTTATGCGTAAATTGGTGCTTCAGCCTGGCACCTCTTATCCGACGTTATTCAGAATATGGCCATCACCGGGACCGTAAGCCATCAAGTGCGTATCATTTCGGACCGAAGGAGTGCAGGATACAATAACAATTTTACTTTAACAAATAATTTTACACTCAACTTCCGTGAATGTAACCGAATCGCGTGAAATACAAATGAAATTAGTTCATGTGTCCGTTAGTGCGTACGCGCCTGCAGTATTGTAGTATGACCCTTATTTATTCTACTTACCTCAGCCTATCCGTCACAAAATCGTATGTAGGACGTTTTCGACTGACTGATTGATCGGACTTTCGAGCGAGTTTTAAGACAAAGGAGATGCACACTATCACTATATAACCATATCACGTTGCATCTCCGGCTATCGATGAAGCTGGTCCCGATGTCCCTAACGGAAGAGCCCAACGTGACGTACTGGATCTAGTTTTCAATATACTCGTATATTTGTGCCATTTGATAAGCTGATCACCCATGAATTTCCCCTAGTTGTTACTTGATCTGACAAATATTGCACGTATAAGGAAATTAATCATGATATATATATATATATATATACACTGAAGCGGACTTCGCTGATCGCTGCCAAGCTCACAATGTTTACAAATGGAGTGATAAAGTTGGAAGTCAACGGGTGATGTGGAGACGAGGCATGAAGAAATGTGCAGATCTATAAGTCAGAGTAGCTGTCTCGCGCCCTCCAGGTTGGGGTCCGAAAGACTCCAAACCGGTCGGTTGGAGACATTTAAGGACTGTCAGCAGTGGCGTTCTTGTCGTTTCTCAAGTAGTCAGAATCCTTGAAATGGTATATGCATAGTTCGGTTGTGTACTCTGTCTGTTGACCATAGACGTTCACCTTCGTCTCCCTCCCTCGGAATAGGTCTAATTCCTGTCCACCACTGTATATATGTAGCTCATTAATGTGGCTATAGCCTCTCAGAATAACTTTTCGTCCTCTCACTGTGATGAAAACACGCGGCACTTGTCGGGCTTCTTCAATATATCCTTTGAGGTTCACACTCCTTAAGGGCATTTTTTAACCGCAATGTCTTATCCTTTCTAGGAGAAACGGGTTTTGTGAGGACTTTTTGCCGATAACCGTCCTCGATACGTGGAAATATCCAGATCATACATAAATTAGGCTGCGATTGCCTGATAAAGCGAAACAAGTGAATCTATCTCCGACCACTTTTTTGCTTAGTNGTTTAGACATGTTTAACATTTCGCTATCCGCCTTTAGTGTTTCAGCAGTTATTATTCCCATTTCTTTGTTTCGTATCCTCATGGTTGTCATGACATTGGTTGTAAATATACACGCGACCACTGAACTGTCATGCGTGACTGTTCGTTGGCACTTCCGTCAAGGTCATCCGCTCGTTCACTCACGCACATGACAGATCAACCACGTGAATTTCTCGTAAGACCAGATCAGTTTCCAGTCATGCGCACATACCGCAGTCACTAGTTGTTTGATTATTACTCGCCGAATTTTGAACTAACTTCGAGCGATTGCCAAACGAACATAGTCTTTTTGAGGGAGCGAGCCAAAGCTCTATGTGGAACACAAATGTGATGATAGTTTTAGTCCATCGTTTGTGTCGGGTTCACATATGTTACTTAACCAACTCACCAAAGACGTAGAGAGCTTTCAGTACACTAAGTCATCTGATCACAGACCGAGTAATGTTACTGGTGGATTATCGGTGATCATTTAAGCTGAAACGCACCTGTCAATGCATGAAAACAAGAGTACGATCCGTATACTCAGCTTATTTCATTCCATTATTCAGATTATCCCAAACAATATTTGAATCACCATGCGAGTTTTGTGTTTAGATGTGAACGATTTGTGGAAATTACACATCTTACACATAGGAGTTTTATATCCGATCAACTGTGATTGAAAATGGTTGGTGCACGTGCCCCGGAAGTGAAGTATATAGGTTAAAGTTCATGTATAGAAAATGGTTGTTTCCGCCGCGTAACAGTCTATTTGGTTGGCTTTTGCCAGGAGTGCGTTTATGCAATCAATTTTTCAATAAAGCCTAGCCGATTTTCATTGATTATCATACACTTCGCCGGCAGTGAAACCTTATAACAGACCAGTTTTCTACTTATCAATGAAAATCCAACTCGTTCATTGACTTCATGATCCTCAATCGATGCAACCAAACTAAACTAGGCCGTCTGGGACCGATATTTTTATGATCCGTTTCTCGCTTCTGGTTGGACTGAAGTGGACCCCGAACCAAGCATGGGGACAAAAACTGGTGTGGCAAAAGGAGTATTCAGTCTGAACACGTTTGAGAAAGTGATTATGGTTGGTTGGCAGTTTCCACTGTTGTACTTGATTTAATCAACCAGTGATAAAACTACTCATTTTCTCCCCCGTTTACTTCGAAACAGAAACCAAAAATGCCACAATATCAGTGCCTACTGATTTGATAATCTCTTCCGGTTTTACCGGAGCATTCGTATTGTCTAAATGTTTTCTTCCATAGATCAGGCATTTTTGCGTGAGTTTCACTTATTATGAATACTGACCTTTCCCATCCATTCGTATGCATATATTTTAGGTAGTCCTTGAGGCGAATGTGAGCGGTGGTCCATGGAGACAATCTTCTCGGTAGGTTTACCCCTCTTGTCCTTGCTACTGTAACTGAAATTAACCTCTCCCTGCAAGCCATAAACCGTTCATTAAAACCCACATAGGACTCTGAATTGGATTTTGTACGTAAATCTAATTCAAAATCGCTTCTGATTCAGGCTTTCGAATCAAACTGGACTACCACAAATCACTGTTTTCGGTTCGATAGTGTCTGAACATGAAACACAATTAAATCAGTGATAATTGGTTAACCACTCTTATGTGACGCATTGTATCCATACGAATTCACTTCTCCCTGCACAAACACACCCTTCGCGACGGAAGAGAGGTACTGATATCTAAAAACAACACTAGTAACTTCCTAACTGGGTGACAACGCACAGGCAGTCCAAAACGCTTCGAACCGCTAGCGATAGAGGTATCCAGGTATGGTATGTGCTTTGCACCTTCCAAGTGTAAAGTGCTTGTTCAAGACTAGCTGGAGCCTATACCTGCACTCACTGTCGGTGGTGATCAGCTAGAAGTAGTTGAGAGCTTTAAGTACCTCGGGAGCTTGAGCGCAGTTAGTGGTGGTGTTGGAGAGGAGATCACATCACGAATTGCGAAAGCTAGAGCAACTTTCGCCAACCTGAAACAACTTTGGCGCCGCTGTGACATCCGACTGTCCCTTAGGGTAGGGTGTACATCGCCGCGTTTCGTAGCGTTCTACTTGACGGTTGCGAGACCTGGCCCCTCCGCGTTGAGGATGCTAATCGACTTTCTGTATTCGACCACCGATGTCTCCGAAGCATTGCTCATGTCTGGTGGGAACACCGGATGAGTAATGACGAGGTTTGTCGTCGTGTGTTGGGTGTGGATAGTCGTTCCCTAACAGAAGTAGTCGCTNNCCTGCCCATCGACTGCCTTTCCGTGCTCTCTTCGCACGTGCTGGGCAAGGCTGGAAGAAGCGGCGCGGCGGTTAGACCACGACATGGACTATAGGCATGAATAAGCTGGCTTCAGCTTTGGCTTCGGTTGGTGCAGCCCGCCTTCCAGATTGGGCCCAAGGGATGAGGATTGTCGTTGGTTAGAGACGCTGAGAGATATGGTTCAAATGGAAGTCAGTGGCACGAACGCT